GCAATAAATTGCCTGCACATTTTGCTGCTTTTGTTTGCAAAACACTTTGAATTTTGCTCATTGAACATTTCAAGAGTTCACACTTAGCTGATAATCAATAAAGCGTATTTGGCATGCTGTCCCGGGAGAGAGCCCTGAGCTCGTAATATCCTCAAGCCCGGGGCTCCCTCCCGTTAGAAGGGCGAGAGGGGAATTCGAGGTCAGGTAGGTCTCGAGAACTCCCCTGCTTGTCACCGTGAGAAGTGTAAACTCAGGTTGTATTGGGTGATCATTTGTTTTAGTCGATTGGCTATGGTTTATGTTTTTGGACGGTGGGAGGAACCCGGGGAAAACCCACGCGAACACGGGGAGAACATGCAAACTCCACACAGAAACACCAACCGGCCCGATGGGTTGGACTGGCGGTGTTCTTGCTGTGAGGCAACAGTGCTAGCCACTGGGCCACCGTGTCGCCCGATCAGAAAAAGTGGGAGGATGTAGGGGTGGAAAGGGGCGGAGCTTCAAGACGAAGATAACTGGAGTGAAAAACTCAGGTTATTTATAATGCTTCCGTAATCATCTAATAGGGCTGATTACGGAGCTAACAAGGAGCCAGCCGTGTTGATTATAAGCACGTGATCCTCTCGAAATTAGTTTATGAATAAACCACACTTATTAAAAATTTAAATATTTAAATTCTAGATTTACAAACATTTTGACACATTTTTCAGTTTTTTAATTTGTGGCTAAGAATTAGCTATTAAAATTTTTTTGGTAGGGACAGTGAAAACATTGGCAGGGCAAGTAAAAATCTGAACCACTGGTCCGATCGGGCAAGTAGAAAAAATCCTTAGCGTTGAACCCCTATCATCATTTCATAATCAGAAACTCTTGTAACAACAACTAAACTAAACATGTCACACACTAATGACTTTCCTGCTTGTATTTCACAACATAAAACACAGAAACCTTTTCTTAATTATGAGTTTGTTTTTAGTAAAGCGTCATTATGTCAAATACTTTTATAAGTCATCATAATATTTGCACTCGGGCAGAAGCAAACTGTGGTAAAGTGTGAAGAAATATCAGACCTAAAACCAGACTTTGCTATAAAATGTAAACAGATGTGCTTTGCATGTGTGTGTGTGTGTGTGTGTGTGTGTGTGTGTGTTCAAAGCTACTCACTTGAACAGAGCAGAAAGAGAAAGCATACAGCAGCTCCAGCACACGTATAAAAACACAAAGACAGTTCATTTAATAAATAACACTGGACTGGAGCGGAGGAACCGCCCACTCTGGCATCCGATTGGTCTCAGAGAGCAAGCGCTTCATTAATATTCATGTACATTAGGTGAGCTCATGTGACTTTACTGATCAATCACTGAATGAGGAGAAGACGACAGAGACAGAGAAAGCTATATGGCAGACAATCCAAACACTGCACACAAACACACAACCGAGGTGTGTGTGTGTGTGTGTGTGTGTGTCCATTATTAAGAGTGTTTAGGTGAAAATCTGAATGTATGTACAGTATGTGTGGTCGAGGGGAGACATGTGTTAATGTATGTGTGTGTGTTTTCTTTGTGCGTTCATCACTCTGTGTATGTGTGTTTTCATCGTGGTGGTCTGGACTTGTGTGTGTGTGTGTGTTATGGCTATCTAGAATCCTTCTGTGTGTGTTTATGGTGGCTATCAAGAATCACTGTGTGTGTATGTGCTTATCGTGGCTATATAAAATCACTCTGTGTGTGTGTGTTCATTGTGGCAATCTAGAATCTGTGTGTGTGTTAACTGGTGGTCTGGATGTGTGTGTTAATCGTGGCTATCAAGAATCACGG